TCAATTGGGCTGACTGACGAACTGTTGGGTCTGTACACAACATTTTGATTTTCATGTAATTGTAAATGTCTAATGAGGAATTACCGAAAACATATGTTCGCTTACACAGACTTTTGAACTGGAAGAACTTGCGAGTATTGCTAAAAAGGGCGGTGGCCTCTATTTCTGAAGCACGTTGGGATCACCTGGCCTCACGATCACTGTTTATGCTTTGTTTGAGCTGCCGACTGACAGAACGGCTCACTTTATTATGATTAAACTCCACATGGGTATTTCTGCGGCCGTCAGATAGATCCAAATATCGCTTGCAGATCCAGGCCTTCATAGGGTGGTTTGTAGGACCACATACTAACTGCCCAGAAGAGATATTATTCCTCTGCATGAACATCCAGTGTTCATCAATATCTTACGGTGGATCGCAAACGAGTGCACCGTCCAGGGAAGATTGATACCTCTGCCGAACCGAGAAAGTAGATAGTTTATTTGCATCTAACTGCTTTGTTTTCGAGGACCCACCGAAACTCATGCATATGGTCGCGCGGACAAATGCATGCTCTGAGTCAAGGAAAGTGTATCAGATGGATCTACAATTCTTTGCACTACCTAGCCATCTGAAACTGATTGCGATATGATCAATCTGGCTCCATGATGGAAGCATACATGAAAATTGCGTACAGCAAAAGCGTACACGGAGAATTTGACCCTCGGAAGATGACGCACACGGATACGGCGAACACGGAAATGCACCAGTTCGATCGCTTTGCTCATAAGAGTCTGTCCTACATGCGGAATCCCTCATGACTCATTCAGAATACTCAACGGACAGAACACTGCTCGCCTACTGAAGTTTGCCGAAGTCTCGCCAATCCGGTGGCTCTAACGCAGTTGCCGTGACCAGACCGAGCTCGTGAACATTTTATGGCGTCAGGCCCATGCCAGTCCAGTGGAACGGAATCATGAAGGGACACGCTTTTATTGTGCGCATACGAGTGTCCCCTATATAGTGGCACCGGTGAACCGTGCTGATTGGAGATGCGGAAATAGCGGCACGTGTCGCAGATGTGTGAAGGATCCGACCATGGTCGTGTTTTTCGGTTTACTAAAATGTCTTTGACTGACCACATTTCTCATCGGTCGTCTAAGTGTATAACGGAACAAGTAAGTTCGATTATTATTGTACTAAAACAAATCGGGTACATCTGCAGAATGATAAAAATGTTCCGTCCAAACGATTTTCTGGGTGGGAAATATACTATGTGGACATCCTTCCATGTGCAATACCATTGTGAGAAAATGGCTATCGGTCATCTGACGCGGTCACCAATCTCATCCAGCCAACACTAGGCTAGCCACGAACTCCGTCTGGTCACAGCAAGTGCGTTAGAGCCACCGAATTGCTGGGCCTTCGGCAAAATGCAGTAGGCGAGCAGGGTTCTGTCTGTTGAGTATTCTGAATAAGTCATGGGGGATTCCGCATGTAGGACAGTCGTTTATGTGCAATGCGATCGAACTGGTGTATTTCCGTGTTCGCCGTGCATCGTGTGCGTCATTCTCCGATGGTGAAATCTTCCGTGTACGCATTTTTCGGTGTACCATTTTTACTGTACGCAATTTTCGTGTACCGTTTTTTCGGTCACCGATCATTGTGAGACCATGATTAAGACGCAGAAGGTGGTCGCCAAGTAACAAAACCTCTCCTCGAATTCCGAAAGCTGGTACTCGAGAGAAACAGATGATTATCTTCGTACAGTGTGAAGTCTTCATTATCTGAGCAGCTCTTATCGAGGGCATGGCGACCACCGAGGTGACTTTCGCAAGATACTAGGCGACTGATCGGTGCGTTGAGATCCCCAGCAAGGACAACAATATCAGATTTGCAGGCTCTGCTCAAGTGCTGGTGAAGTTCACCGTAGAAATCGTCTTTAACTGAATCGGAAATACAGTCAATTAGAGCGTAAGCTGAGATCACAAACAAGTTGCGTCTCTCCTCACGACATCTGTTGGTCCTGCATGAGCCCCGAAGCCGAACTGCACACAGTCGGCTGTTAATCGGGAACCTGTTTAACAGTGCGGCCTCGGCTTTGCTACCTAGCGTTACACCAACGCCAGCCAAACCTGCCGCAGCCGCTTCTGTATCATCAGATAGGCGTAAGGGAAATAAGGCTCCGCGGTCGGTGGGAGATCTCAACTGAATCACAGTACTTGGATTTTGCGAGCGCGTTTCGGGAAGAGCAAACATCGATGGCGAGAGAGTCCAAGGTGCGCAAAAAGCCAGCCTGCTGCACGATCTGAATGAGTGTATGTACATCGAAACATGCCAGACGGAACGAGGACCGACGCCATAGGAGTGCGACTGAGCGAGCTCTGTGGGTGTCAACGAAATCATCGGGAGTAGGATCATGGGAACAGGAATCACCTGGTAACGGATACCAGTGATTGATAACAAATGAACTGGTGGAGTGTGAGTATCAGGAGCAAAAACAGCTGAGAGCAATATAGCAGATGAACAGTCCATGGTTTTGTCCGGAGTTGTGTTGTGGACCGATTGGAAGTGCTCGATTGTTAAGCCGGTTCCGAAGGGCGGTGACCCAAGCAAGGTGGACGATTCCCGGCCGATTTGTCTGACCTCCGTTTTGGCCAAAATACTCGAGGAAATAGTGAAAAGGGGTCTACTGCATTTGCTGGAATCGAAAACCTGACCACTGCACAGCACGGTTTCATCAAGGGCGCCCCTGTATCACCAGCCTGCTATTGACGCGGCATGAAGTATTGTAAGCGTTGAACCGGGGGAAGTCGGTGGATGTCATCTACATTGATTTCAGCAAAGCGTTCGACAAAGTGAACCATGAGGTCCTCCTCAACAAGCTGAAAATGTGTTGGTGGCTCACTGCACAAGTGGATCAGTGACTTCCTTATTGGACGGAAACGGAGGAGGTAAAAGTGATTGACCATCTAACGGACTGGAACCCTTCCACAAATTGTGTACCCCGAAGTACTTCTGCGCATTATGTTCCTGATCCACATCAACGAAGTATCTCAGCTTCTTCGGTCGCCCTGTGCATTGTTTGAAGTCTACCTGAAGATTTGGGTGGTTCTTGATTCTTCCGACGACTGGGACGTCCTCCAGCATGACCTCGATCACCTGTCTAGTTAGTCTACAGAAATCGATCTGCCAGTTAAATCGTTATATATGAGCCTGGAGAAGCGTGTTGCTGGGCGTACGTACACGCTGTCCGGCCATTCGCTACATCACACACCTTCCGTGAAGTATCTCAGAATACTATCACGCTGCGATTTGAAGTCCGAATAAGCTATATGGAAGCGGAGTGCACATGCTTTGGGCGCTCAAACGCAGCTTCTGCATCTGGCCTGAAGAGATTGACGCGCGCCTCTTCTCTTCCCTCATAAGACTGATGCTCGAGTACCGATCACCTGCTTATTATCCGATCACACATCGCGAGTTGCAAAGGCTGGAACGTGTTCAACATGTGGCTACTAGGCTAATCCCCACTTTACGGGGTATGCCGTACGAAGACCGATGCAGACGACTACGGCTGTACACCACGTCGTATCGGTGGTTTAGAGTTGATCCCATTATGACGCATGGGATATTGCATCTAGATTACTTCCCCATGCTGAGGATACTCCTGCACGTGCGCGTACCAAGCAGCACTCGCGGGCACCGCTACAAGCTAGTGGTACCGGACCTAAAGCGGATAGCTCACCCACTATGCTTCGAGCGCCGAGTGTTGAAATATTGTGAACAGTTTACCTGCGAAAATTGTTGAAGTAAAATCGGTGTCGGAATTCAAGCAATTCCTGGACACCCATTTTGCGGATTTCAGACACAGAGAGCGCATCGCACCCGAATAGCATGCGGCGCACCTGTAATAGCAGCAGACGCTCAGAATTCAGTGATGTGAATCCGCGCACGTGCCCGAACTGATTACGATGGAGCAACACAGACGCATGTCTACTAGCCCTCTATTTTCAGTATTCACTATTCTCGATGGATGGTAAAACCAGGGCGGGCAACACCAAATATCCAACTGCTCCATCATTTTAAGTCCTGGTGACCGAATTGACCAAGGTTCACTTCAATGCGAATCGGTGTCCACATTGAAATTGCGAGTCGCAATCCAATCGCAAAGCGAGTGTTTCAAGATGGCCCCTCTATTCACTGCCTAACATAGTTTGTTCTGTTTCGTTTTATTTGCTGTTTTTTGCTTCTCCGGGATTGTTTCTCGCTTCCGCTAACATGAAGAACGATGGTGTACATTCTCACCTCGTTTACTGCTGTTTACCGTAGAAAAAGGTAAACACCTTGTGTCGTAGTTCACCCACGTTTATCCACTGTATACACTTGGACTTGTATGCACTTAGACATTTACTCATCAAGCGTACATTTTCGTCTGCTGTTATTTATATTTTCTATCTTTTTGTCACAGTTTGTCATCTATGCTGTCTTTATACAAAACTAGTTTTCATTAGAACTCCTTGTGTTTCTTACAACGATCATAACTTCGGTCGCTAAGGGTTAGCGGCTTCGCCTAACATCGCAATGGTCCTAAGTTCGAGTCCCAGGTTTTTTTCTCTTTCACTGCTCGATGAACACAAACAAGTATGAAACCATGTGTGGAGTGCAGTGTTTTGCGAGCGGGCGATATCACACAGTCATCCATTGCAGATGCGTTCCTAGTGATCTAACTGACTTAGATTCACTTCAGTGTGAATTCCGGTCCTGACTGAATTTACTTGTCGAAATCCATTCACACAACGGGGGCCCCAAATGTCCCCTCGGTTTGGTTGTTTGGTCGGACAAACAAACCTGTGCGAATTTGAACTTTTGCTTAATGCGCACCTATCCAGTTTTCTTACCGTCTCTCCGCTGGTGTGCTGTAGCGAGCTTCGTTTTGCTGTTAGTTACCCAACGCACACTTATACTCCTTGGACATTGTATGACAGAGTAACTCGCTCTTTTTTCTTTTATGGTACTTCAGCTGTCAACTATGTCCCATTCCCACTGTACTTTGAGCGCATCCTCTCAGTCGGATGTCACGAGTTGGCTGAATGAAATCCACAAGCGACGAACCAGTGTCGGACCATCTGCCACCGAGTTCAATTTTGCTAAGTGCCGTGTACGCGTCTTGAAAGGTCCTAATTTATTTCCCGAGTTCGCTGACAATATTGGGAAGACACCGGGCGGTGTATTATACTGGATGATTCGCGACCAGCGCGTTCAAGGTAATTGTCCTGTTTGTTGCGCCACCTATGGTCACTGGAGCAACATTGTTACTTTTTCCACGAAAATACAGTATGCACGGAAAAGCGATAGGAAAATGTTTTGTTTATCGTCATTTTATAAGGGAATGTGTATGGTCTCTTCTCCACTTCCCTCTGGACTGTACTTGTGTAACCCAACGACCCAGCGCGTGATACGGTGAACGTTGGCCATTTCTCACATTATCTTTGTGTTAATAGTCACCTCGAGTCTATCCCTTAATTTTTGTGCACTCGTTATGATCTTCTGGACTGGTGCATGCATAGGAGTCTCCAGACAATTGCTGTACATACTCATTTCGTCGCTAAATACGTAAACGTCACCTACGAGTGTTAGCTTGTGGGATTTGATCCCAGGTATTACTGATCTGTAGTAGACACTGAGAACAAGTAGAATATCGAAACCCTAACTATATGTATGGTCAGACCACCATTAATTCCGGGCACGCTGTCCAGTTATGCCATTAATGAGGAAATCTCCACGAGTTCGCTCATCATGAACCGTTTCAGTGCCTGTTTTCTCTGCTGCTGCCCCCAAGCTGCCTCACAACGAAACTGAACCTTAACGGGACGGTTTGCATGTCTTTTCTATCTTTTGCTCTATGCGGAGGTCTTCGGATGTCATGAGAACTACTCCTACCAGGTCCTTCACCACTTGATCATCAAACGAACTCGGTCTCCTAATACTCGCTGTATTAGAAATGACACTGATTTCCTTAAGCTTCAATCATTTTATTGACTATTGCTCTATATCCGCTATCTTGTCACCAACTTCCAAATCTGAATTCTTGATTGATAGATAACCTAGCAGCTCTCGTGCCCGCTAATTACCCCACCCTACATATTTCAGCCCCATACTGCATCGGTTATTCCACATCTACACAAATTTCACTGTCACATAAATAGCGGTACGCTGGCGCGCCGCACCGACGCTTCGTTGCCCCGCGATCATTACCAGCCTCACGTGTGCCATGGGCATCACAAGACCGCTCGCAGCTACGCATATTCGAATCGGCAACCGCTGGGTTACAATGGACGCTCGTAATTCTTTCGGTCACCGGCCGACAGCATACAGCAGGGAAGCTATACGAAAATATACACCTGATGGTCATCATCATTATACATGTTAGCTAGAGGTGGGAAGCACCTCAGCTACTGTGCCGCAGTACATAAATGAAAAATAAATACAACAGTTGCATGCGAGCTGAGCTACCAGCAACGGATGAGCATCGTTCCGGTAAGATTCCAGCCGGATACTAGGCAACAAGAAAAATTATGATGTAAACTTATATTACGCTACGAGGGAGATGCCAAAACGGAGGGAGAGGGATAAAGAAACTCACAGCAGGAACGCCACTGAGGTCGGTTCCTTGCCATGTCAGCAAGTGTATCTAGCCAAACGTGTTCATCGTCTTTTGGACCCCAACCAGGAAGCCGAGACGCGCTCCAACAGAGGCCAGCTCCGAAGTGAGGGCTTTCATGCCTCTGGACCAAGTCATCGCTTGGCCACCCCTCTTCTTCCATCCACACCCCCGTGAGCAAACAACGCACGTCGTGGAAGTCGGTGGGCTGGCATGCGCAACACGTGGCCCAGCAATCGGAGCCTGGTGCGTGAAATAACGGTGCTGAGCGGTTCAGTTCCCTTTTCTGTGTCGTAAACAAGGCGTCGAACACGCTCGTTACTCACGCGATGTTTTTCCACCACGTGTGAGCCAAACTGCGAAGGCACCGATGGTCGAACGTAACTAGCCTCTTTAAGTCCGCTGATCTAAGGGGTCAGGTCTCCCACATGCTCTTGTACCCATCGTTTCTAGTTATCAACCTGCGTTCGTCAATTTGCAGCATAAGCGATGGCAGCTGCGATTTGATTCTAGTTTCGTTACCATTTGTAATCGTACCACTTCAGTGCCCCATGGTCTCTTGCCACCATTATCACATTATTAGACTATTATCGTGGTAATTCTGCACGTTAGCTGGAGGTGAAGAATAGTTACTATGCTGCTGTTTTCATCAGGTCTGTTTACCCGGTTTCTTTGTTTCGAACAGTTTTCGTATTCCTCGATAGTTGCTCCGCTGTAGACACCTGCACACACGTTTGCTGTCCTGGTAGTTACGGTTTGCCTCGCCTCCGAAACCAAAGTCCACAACGCGCAATATCATGCTATCTCCGTCACATATACCAGGGACCGATTATCAATATGTCCCTCGATTTGAGGATCATATTTGACTCGGTCGATCGCCTCGTACCGTTTAGTGTATTTACGTGCTGAGCGCTCCAGCACACGGGGCATTGTCAAGGCCTACAGTGAGCAGTTTGGCGCCTTTCCAGCAGCTATTAACATTCATCCGGTTTGTGCTCTTCCCCAATTTTTGTTTAATTTTATTGGGGATTTCATCATGGATTTTCGCCTCATAGCTTCTCACGATGCACGTGTTTATATGCTACCGGGAAAACTAGTACAGCTTGGTTTACTGATCGATAGCCCGAGGTGACGCAGTCAGCTGACTTAATTCTCAGTAGGGGTCTCACCTTTTGGTGTTTGCTTTACACAATCATTGTATGAATTGTTGCAGGACTGTCCATCGATCATGGAGAACTAGAAATAGTCTCTCAGTTCGCTTGCCTTGGCAGATGCATTGGAAGCGGCGGTCAGATGACGATTGAAGTTAATTTAAGTTTAACTGCAGTTAAAATTGTCTTCTTGAATCCTCGACATCTAAGGCGCCGATAAAGGCCTTATTTTCAGGACCATATTGAGGCCCGTTCCTTATTGAATTGAGAGTTGCACATTCTGTCCTAGGAATTATGGCGGCACGAAGTTTTTGACTGTCACCACCATCTTAACACTGTTACTACTTTTTAGCACAAGTATGTCCATACCGATGGGGTGCGCAAACGAACACAATGTGGCAGGGGTAAGATAGTTCAATGACTACTCACTGCCTTGGAGGTAGACCTTGTTTTACTCTCTGGATCTGGGATGGCTCAAGGTATTTAAGAAAACGCATCTGAAGCACACTGTTCGGACGTTTCGTTGCCACGCGACCATTGCTATTCGCCCATAGACTGGGTATAGTACGTGGTCACCCGCATCTGCGCACATTCAAACTGGCGGTCGTCGGATTATAAGTCAGATGCTTTATCATTCGGGCAAAAGGCCGACGACCTAGGCTATTAGGAGGCAGTAGCTGGCAATAGGAAATGAACGCAGTGATAATTAACCTGGGTATCGAGGTCCGCTCGACCCACTGTGTGGTTCATATTTTTACAGGATACCCAGTTTACCAGCTGTTATTCTTGCACCAAGGTTCATTGGGCCCAATTGAAATAGCATGTCGCCTAGATAACTATGGTCACCTCTTTTAGGATCACAAACATGCCATGTAATCCGAGGGCGCGGGCTCGAGGCTGCGTAGGGAGCGGGAGACCCTCACAGTATCCTTAACCCAAATGCTACTGGTGGTGGTTGCCCGGTAGCGAAGCGTCGGTACAACGTAACGACATACTGTTGATGCCTTATCTATTGTTTTATGGTAACAGCGATGATAGTGACTCAAAAAGAATGAGCGAGCACTTAAGTCGTCGGGTGAAATGGTGGAACGAAAACAAGAGTATTTCGCTATAATCGATAGGGCGTCCAACTGCTGAAGTTGTCGGTCCTGGGTGACTCGCACCAGTGGAACGTTTGTATTCTCCTAATCGGACACAGGTAGTGAACGCCGGAACTCCATTATCTCGCCGGTGCCTTCTTATCTTTGCACGATATCAGGATGTTTGTAACCATATTTTACGGAGCTCATTGTTTCAATGGAAAAATGATTCGAGCCAATGATGTTACGGAAACATTAAAATATATCACCCGTCTGCACATCTAGGTTCTTATTGGTCTAAAGGAACTGAACCGATTATCTTGGCGGGTAGTCCGGCTTCCTACAGAAACGAAAATCCATGGGTTGCTCCATAAATGTTCGTTGATCTTCCCGTTACTTGTACCTGCTTCGATAATTGCTCCACTGACACGCTTTTGCTTCCAAGCGTTGAATTCTGATTTTGGCTGGGATTCGGAGCTCGCGGGAGTCAGGTCAACCGGAATCGCATAGTGAAGAGATTTAACAGTATCGTTTGGGTATCTTCACTACGGATGTTCGCGTAGAGCACATAGATTTTGAATCCGGTCAAATGTTATATCATTCCTCGGTAATATATGATTGCGCAACAACGAAACATCAATACAAGGTACTGGTAGTTTATTGTTTGTGTTGTTAGGAGGGTGGCATAGTTTGGGTTACGCGCACACTGAAAGAATAGTTTGAGAGTGAAACACGGCGAGACTGCACGCTGTCCATGGCTTTTGCAATGTCTTTCAAAACAATGACCGTGTTTGCCACCCTGCTTATAGCGCATGAAGAAGAAATGAGGCGCTTAGCACTGCTAGTTAACACATCAAGCTCTGATGGGTTACTCATTTGATAGGAATGCCAGTACGCCGACATCTGCGACGTGCATTGGATCTGGATAGAAGAAGAAGTGAGGCGAACTGGTGGCTACGTCCAGAGAAAGGAAAGCTCACAATTTAAATTCAGCCTTGGTTGATGCTTCCCTACTACTGGGTTGGGCTCGGAAAGACGGTAAACGCGCTTGATTAGAGACAACCAGAAGTGCTAATCCGTGGCTTAAATACTCACAAGCCTGCCTTGTAATCTGAGGTCGCGGGTTCGAGCCTGCTTAGGGGACCGGGTGACCCTCGCAATATCCTTAGACCATGCGCGACTGTTATTGGTTGTGCGGCAACGAAGTGTCGATCCTGCTTACCAATGTACCGCTGATGCCTTCTTTTATTGGAAACACTTGTTGACATGGCTGGAAGCCGACCTGGGTAGCGTTTTGTTGCCCCCTTCCCTCTCGCTTACCCTCTCCTTTCAAACACGATCTTACTACCGATACATATCAAAGAACGACTCGTAATATTATTTATTTTACGTTTTTACTTTTGCGCCTATTCAACTGTATTGTGCTGCGGCATAATAGCCGAGTCATTACCCACCTCCAGCTAACGTGTATGATGGTTATAACTGTCTGATCAGCTTTTGCTGCCGTTGGTGTCGCCTTTTTCTTACTGCTGATTCCTATTTTGCTGCTAGCTAATATCCCCCTGCTTCTGGTTGTCTCATCTTTATTCTGCGGCATGCTTTCATAAAGTCATTTGACATTCCACTGTCATGAGTCCTGGGCTGATGGGCTGTTGTTTTGCACCGCAATAGGGATCCGTATTATATCGTCTCAGGCGTTTCGTCTGTAATGGTGCAAGGGATGTCTCCACTATCTTAACCTGCGTGCAACCGCAAACAGCATGGCGCCAAAGCATCTACACAGTGTTGATGCACACCTGTAAGCCTTGTTAACATCACATATAGTGCGCTTCTTGATTACACACTGGTAGGTTATACATATTCACTTAGACGTGATTGTGAAGATGAACGTTTACTCCCAGCTCCTTAGACAAGTGTACGCCGACTTTTGTCCACTTATAATGGGTAATTTCTACTTAAAAAAACTAACTTATTTCAATGAACTATCTGTTACTTTTGAAATCAAAAATTAATTCTGTACACGGCTGACTGGAAAAACATGAAATAATCTTAATTCAGCTTATCCTGCTCAAATGTTGTTTAAGTGGAAATAGCTGCATGAAATTCTCTCATCTCCACTGTTGTCCGGTTTAGCTCCTAAGCCGCGTCTTCTATCTGCTTATGGCTGTATTACCATGACATCAAGTCTAACACTACGATCAGCATTTGAATCTCAGGTATGCTCTCGTTTGGAGCCCGTTACTGTACAGTTATTAGTCGATAAGCCGAAGGGACCTTTTACTTTTCCCCTACTTATTCAACTGCCACATTTGAACTTTACTTTTTTCTTCATCTCTATCTTCAGATAACTGGGCTTTCCTTTACGCACAACGCTTGGCTATGAAGTTCGAAGTCCCTCTTCACGCATGTTTCTGCTTGGTGCCGCATGCACAAGCGAATACTCTGCGCCACTTCACGTTCATGATAGACGGCCTAGCGGAACTTGAAAAGGTAACGGGTGAAATCCTGTTTTTTTCCTAATTTTCTTGCATGTTCATAGGCTGCAGACACCTACGCAACTTCCTTTTCCCTGTAGTTTAAATGTTCCTGTTTGTTTTTATTAGCTATTTGTCATCGGTTTGTTGTTATGCTAACCGTTTGATGGACATGGTTGAGTGTGAGAGCTCAGAAGGTGCGGACAAATTTGTTTATGTGGGTAACGAGCATTGATCTTATGCATTAGATCTGACCGCAATTTCACTCGTCTGCGAATGTCTTCCTGGAAGTTGCATGGCCCACTCCTTTTCGAAGCCTCATCAAGCGCTACTTCTGCATATCTTCTTCACTCACATTCAAGCGTTCACTATCGAAACCTTGTTGACTCGTTACTCTCCGGTTCGCTTAGTACTCCTATACTGTTGGCCACTGACGCAATTGTACCTACGCCTAGTTCACCACAGAGATCCGAAGCCCAGACTATGATTTCCATTGCAGCGTAAATACCATATAACCCTTCGGTTCGCCTGACCATCCATCGCATTATCTCTTAAGTTGAATAGCTAACCAGGCATCTGACATCGGCTGTTTTGTCCTATTGGGACTCGTCAATGGTGCGTACCCGCCGGCTGCTTTCGCAGGAATCTTTGTTGTGGCCCATGACCAGTCGCTAAATCACTCAACAATTATCAAAGATCAGACGGCCTTTATCAGAAGCAACTACTTCCGATAAGACAAAGAGCGGACCCGAGGCACAAACGTCAATGTCCTACATAGCTTTTCTACAGATGACTTGGAAAACTGCCAACGGAGCGAAATATCATTGCCTAGGATTAGGCAATCTGCTTCAATGATGATGGTCGATGAAGGCGGCTGCACTCAATTTCTTAGGATCTGTTTACCATTACACTCTGGCTCCAGGAGTCAGGTAACTTGAATAATAATGGAGGGTTAGTCGCACTCTGTCGCAGTCATGAGGTTCCCCCGTCCACCGTGGAATGGCGGAGTAAGCTATTGGCTCCACGCAAGCTGCCAGTGTCAAGAGGTTATAGGTTCGGTTCCTGATTGAGCGGTAGATACGCGCCACTGACGAGTTTCAATGGGATAAAACGGTCGGTTGGTGCCTTTCCGGATGCATGTTTGGCCATCTGACTTAGAGGCTACTACTGAGAACTCCTAATAGAATAACTTAAGAACTGAAACCAACAATAAGCATTTAATTAGAACAATAAGGCTATCCGTTTGCGCTTGATAATTATGCGATCACCCCCATGATCTGACTAACTATCAACCAGATTGAGTTACGGAATCCTTCCTTTCCCGTTTTTGTCCCACACTGGATAGGTTCCAAGTATTTTGCTCACCCAGCTCATATCGTCGATCTCTTCTGTGCTACACTGTGCCAATTGTTATTTGTATACTTAGGTCATACTTACTTTTAGTATCGCTCACGAATGTTATGTGGTGAGTTTCGGCAATTGTGTTGCAAGCGAGTGCTAGGCATGATAATCAAGCTAAAACAACAGATAGCACTGAATACGTTGCGTTGGCTTAGGCACGTACTACGTATGCCCAGTCACCGTTTACGGATGAGGGACTAGTTTTGTTCCCCAGATGTAAGGTGGCACAAGGCTCGACACAGATAAAAGTTGACTAAATTCGATGCCACCTGTCCGACTGGCCTTCCGGGCTGGAGTCCACGTGACTCGCCTTGTGCTTGGCTCGAGACTTTACAGGACATGGCTCGCAATCGATACCAGTGGCGTGTCCACTGCCGTCTCCTAGCCGGTCTGCCTGTTTAAAGTGTGTTTGGTGCTGAGTTATCTGCGGGGTAATGGCTGATTATGACGCTGAGCAGTGGAAGCCGCAAGGAAGCTGTCTCGCTGATGCCGCCTTATCGTTGCACGATTGACAACTGTTTGTGGTGGTATGTTGTGGACAAGGTGTAGGCATTTTGACCCCCTTATTATTATTCGCTCCGTAGTTCACCATGGTTGTATGACGGCGAAGCATCAGTTCAAATGGCTGATGTAGTGCTTATGTTGATGACTGACTGTGTTATGACGCCAGAACCTCGTTGCCACTAAGCCAAATAATTAGCACATTATTTCACTTGTCTAAACAAGCACGTGCACGCGTGTAATCGTGGAAAATTTTATTTCATAAAGATATATTGGAAAGTGGTGAATAAACGATTCACTTCGGAAATGCATGCTTTCCGAATACTCTCGCTTCACATTCACTCATAGACGACATATCGTTTTACTAGTATTTTTGACACTGCTTGCTAGCAGTGCACTTTCGATTAAATTGTAGTTTGATCTTCTATTGAACCAACTGTGGTCTTTAAAGCTGACTAGTCTAACATGAAGTTACTGCTTTACCATCATTGAATACCGACAGCACTAGTTGATGGTACTAGATGGCTGTCTGGGGAGGTTCGCGTGACTTCGAAAACCGCAGTCGCTCATGGAGGTAGCGGGAATTGAGCTTATCGGTCAAAGTCAGTGTGTGCGACGTAGGGCTACCAGCTCGATATCGAAGGCGGTCACTGCTCTCTGAGGACAGTGTGATACGGGTCGTGTTTCGCCAACCATGCTTACGGTGTATTGGCCATACCCGTTGGGACTAACACAGGAACGATACCGATGTCAGGTATTTGAATTCTGACAGCTGACAACAGGTTGTTTGTTGCTAGTGCCACATTCATGGGCTCGTTCTTGATGGCATTCAGATGCATCTAGTGAGAACACACAGTCACTGCTCCTATTGGCCAAACTATACCATAAGACCCGACTGCATGTGATCGCAGCTTGGGGCTGTGCCACTTGTGCTCGTCGAAACTACCCTACAAAAATAGTTGGCCTTATTCATTGCATACCTTATTATGGAAGTCGTTTGAGTTGAACCTGATTTTGTATACCAGCTACACATGTGACAAGATAATATGTGCTGATAAATGTAGCAGGTTTGTAATGCCTGAGGTGTAGATGTAACTACTTATTCATTGCATCATTCTTAATCGATTTTGTTGACGATTGACCATTGAACTGGTCGAATATGATGAAGCCAGTGCAGTGTTCGACTGGCTCTGAAATCCAACGACGGGGTCCCCAGTTCCAACCCACTGTACCCCGCACTTTCGCATCTCGTTAGCACCACAAATCATTGTCATATTGACATAAAATACTGTAGTGTCGTTCAACGTTGTACACCGGGACTCTGGTCTTATGCCCTGGATCCGTGACATAGTGGCTCATGCATTTGGCTTGAAACAGCGTCCCTGATTCGTGTCCCCGCGTCTGAATGGGTTTTAGTGCCCTTGCAACATTACAGCCTTTCTGGGTTGCACGATAGCAAATAACATTCAATTAAACTTACAAACTTACTCGGACAACCGAACTTACCCAACACCTACCACAATGCCTCGCGGTTCACCGTATCAAATGCCTTGGTGAAATCAACAGACAGTGAGTACAACTGCTGGTGTCGTTCTCTACACTTCTCCTTCAACTGACGAACTACGAACACCATAAGGATAGTGCCGCGACTCGAACGGAATCCACGTTCGGTTCCACAACCTGACTGACGAGGCGGTTGAGCAGGATTCGGTTTGGCTTTCAATCACTATATAAGTAATGAAGCAGTTGTTAGTTGTTACTCGCACGCCGTCGTCATTGAAAGATAGTGGAATTGCGAGTCGAGTCGGAAATGTATGAATTACAGCCTGTATGACAATGTGTTAAATGCAACGTTTACACAACGGTTACTCACTAACTGGAGGAGTCATTTCATAGCATTCGCATTGTAAACGGATTTCGGTGCGCATTTTCAAGCTGGACTACAATTTCCTTGATCACTGAGATCATATCCGAAGCAGACAAACGTATCCATCTTCCTGCTAATCGAATTATTTGGCGCTTCTGTCAGCACCCATCGAATTCATCGGCGTGTTAATGGATGTACAGTTCATCATTGTCTTTTCACATCCGTCGAATTCATTTCCACAGCTTCTATCGCCCCCGCCGATATGAAGCAATGAGATCGAGATTCAACATTCGGCAAGTCATGAGCCATTAGTTTGCTCCTCCTCAGTGATTAAATTCAGGAGGGTTATTTCAGCTTCCCACTCGAAAATGTCTAACTGTCGTTAGCTATGGGCGATCGACTTGTCAAGTAACGCTGTCATACTGCACCCTCTTTCTCCTAAAAGTGTGCAACATAAGTTCTGATCAATGCACAGGCTTTATTTTAGCTCTTAGAGGGCTACCTCCCAGTTCAAAAGTAAAGGTACTGAAATGGGATACAGTTTGTAAAAAGACGTACGCAGTTTATGTACAGCCCAAGCTCCATAGTGCGTCGACTGTACTGACTGATTATGAATCAAGCTGATTAACGATTGATGAAATGAATACGAAAAATCTAAGCTAAAAGGACCTAGTCTGTTGCTGCACTCGTCAAGTGATTCAACAGCAGCTGTTTCTCATAATAGCGCCTTTATTGCTTGCTTATCCGACGTGACCGCTCATCATGCTTGTTTTAGATCGTCCAAATGATCCTTGGTTGGAACACAGCTGCATCTACTAAGACAATATCGCTAGTTCAATTATATTGGAGCTGTCGAATACCCGACCAACTTTTCTCTTATTCCCATTCTTGGAATAAAGAGAGCGTGACAGCTTTCTTCGGTTTATCAAATTAGAAGGATCGCCCCTTTGTGTAGAGATGCCACTCAAATGGTAACCGAGATTGCCCAAATATTCCCAACTCTATAATTTGCTTTGATGCACTGAATCGTGACACGCTGCACCGTTATGTGATTAAACTCTATGTGTCGTTATCTCATTGAGCATTAAGCAGCTGGATCGCGCCGGGGAAGTCGATAAGCGGCAGCTGGGGAAATGTGAATATGATCTTATGCTTGTATGCGTCGACGCATATGAAGCCAAAGTAGCGGGTGGCATCTTGTACTACTATGGGGTTTCGACTTTTTAACCTTTAATGCTCAGTGGCGT